TTCATAGGCGTGATTTTACTGACAGCTGTCGCAGAGATCAAGCTATCTTTTATGAACCATAGTCATGTCATTTTCTGGAAAGCTCTCCTCGCTCTGTTACCCGACACTAGATGGCGCTAGTGCCAGACGTCAACTTAGGCGCGCAACAATACCAAGGTAAACACAAACACCCGCTCTTCATGATGGCCATTTGTATTGGCCACAACATTCGCCACTGTTTGGCAAACGTGAAGATCCGCCGTTACCCTTAACCAAGGAGCGTGTGTGCACGCGTAAGATATGGATATGAGAAGTGTCTGCATCGTGCCAAACATAAGTCTGTAGCCTATGTGTATCTCTATACTGACGTGAGTTTATGTATTTATATGTATGTATTTAAGAGATCGTGCGTGGCAACTATGGCAATATACCTCCCATGAACAATTACACAAATAGACGGCCCCCAGTCCCCGGCGCCCCGCTATTCCTGGCTACGGTGGCGACCATGGTAACGGCGGGGCAGGGGGTGCTAGGAATCTCCCGTGGAGGTTCGGTTGCCACCTACGACGACTCGACCTGGCAACATTTAACTCGCGCACCCTGAGGACTGACGAGAGGATCCTGGAGCTGGAAGAAGAGATAGACAAGTTGCGCTGGAATATTATAGGATTATCCGACGTCCGAAGAGACGGGGGAGGACACGGTGATTCTCGAATCCGGCAACTTGTTCTATCACCGGGAGGGCGACCATCTGTCCCAAGGAGGTGTCGGATTTATCGTCCACAAGTCTCTCGTCAACAACGTTGTAAAGATTGGGAGTGTGTCGACGAGGGTCGCGTACCTGATACTCAGAATCACCAAACGGTATTCGCTGAAGGTCATACAGGTTTACGCACCAACCTCGGCACATCTCGATGAGGAGGTGGAGGAAATGTATGAGGATATTTCCAAAGCCATGCATTCCTCCGAAACCCACTACACGGTGTTGATGGAAGACTTCATCGCAAAACTAGGCAAAAGAGAAAACGGTGAGCTGAAGTTAGGGAAATTTGGAGTAGGGTAACGGAACCGAAAGGGCCAGCAGCTGGCCGACTTTATGGAGAAAGAGGGACTCTTTATGATGAACTCTTTCTTCCAGAAGCGGCCCCACAGGAAGTGGACCTGGTCGAGCCTCGACGGTTCGACAAAAAATGAGATTGACTTCATTATGACGACCAGACGCCAACTGTTCAGTGATGTCTCAGTGATCGCAAGGGTGAAAACTGGCAGCGATCACCGAATGGTTAGAGGCACACTGAACCTAAACGTTACGTTGGAGAGATCTCGTCTAATGAAGTCAACGCTCCGTCCCCTCGTGCTCTAATCCAGAATCCCGAATACTTTTCAGCTCGAGTTACGTAACCGCTTTCAGTGCCTACAAGATTGCAATGCAGTGGACGATATGAATGACAAGCTCGTGGAAACTGTCCATGCGGTCGGAGCTACGTTCTGCAAGACCCGCCGCAGAAGAACACAAAAACTCTCCGATCACACTCTTAATCTCATGGCTGTTAGACGGGAGATGAGGCTGCAATCGTCAACAGATTTGACAGCATACAGGCAACTGCACAGACAGATCTCCAAATGCATGCGGCGAGACTTACGCAACTTTAATACTGCTCGTATTAAAGAAGCGATCGAGCGGAACCAGGGCTCCAAAGTCTTTGCCAGAGATCTGTATGCCAGTAAGAGCCAACTGTCAAAGCTGAAGACTGAGTGTGGCAGTATCGTTTCCGGGACACCTGAGATTTTGAGTGAGATTGAGAGGTTCTATGGGCAGCTGTACACATCATCGTTGGAGCCACACGCAAGTGTGAGTAACGATCCAAGAGCAAGTCTTATCCGACACTATTCCGATGATATCCCGGACGTCAGTATAAGCGAGATTGGAATGGCTCTCCAGCACCTGCAGCAGCAAAACCGGCAGGGCCCCAGGCGAGGATGGAATTACAGCGGAGATTCTGAAAGCGTGTGGAACACCGGTACTTGAAGTCCTTCAGAAGCTCTTCAATTCCATCTGTCCGTGGTGGCACTACTCCAGAGGCGTGGAGCAGAAGTGCGGTGGTCTTGTTCTTTAAGAAAGGCGACAACGCTCTCTTGAAGAACTACAGACCGATTTCCCTTATGAGCCGCGTCTACGTGCTGTTTTCGAGTCATTACGAATCGTCTCGCACGCAGACTCGACGACTTCCAGCCTCCCGAACAAGCCGGTTTCCGAAAAGGCTTCAGTACCATAGACCACATACATACCCTGCGGCAGATTGTACAGAAGACTGAAGAGTACAATCTGCCACTTTGCCTGGCGTATGTGGACTATGAGAAAAAAGCCTTTGATTCCGTCGAAATTTGGGCGGTGCTAGTCCCTTCAGCGGTACCAAGTTGACTGTCGGCATATCGAAGTGCTGATGTGTTTGTACAGTAGGGCTACGATGGCTATCCGAGTACAGAACCAGAGCTCGAAACCTATCCAACTGCAGAGAGGTGTAAGACAGGATGACGTTATATCCCCGAAACTCTTCACCGCTGCATTGGAAGACGTTTTCAAGCTACTGGACTGGAAAAGATACGGTATTAACATCAATGGCGAGTACGTCACTCACCTTCGATTTGCCGACGATATAGCCCTTATGGCAGAATCGCTGGAGGACTTAAGCACTATTGCTCAATGACCTCAATAGTGCCTCCCAATGGATAGGTCTTAAGATGAACATGGACAAAACAAAGATCATGTTTAATGTACATGTCACACGTATGCCGGTAGTTGTTGGGAGCACTATGCTCGAAGTTGTTGAGAAGTACGTTTGCCTGGGACAAATAGTCCGACTAGGTAAGTCCAACTTCGACCGAGAGGTCAATCGACGGATTCAACTCGGCTGGGCAGCGTTCGGGAAATTACGACATATCTTCTCGTCGGGTATACCTCAATCTCTAAAAATAGATTGTACAACCAGTGCGTGTTGCTAGTGATGACTTACGGATCTGAGACGTGGTCCTTCACTGCTGGCCGTATGAGGACGCTCAAGGTCGCTCAGCGAGCTATGGAGAGGGCTATGCTCGGATTTTCTCTGCGTGATACTCAGAAATGAGGATATCCGCAGTAAAACCAGAGTGACCGACATAGCCCAACGGATTAGTAAGCTGAAGTGGCAATGGGCCGGCCATATAGCTCGAAGAAGCGATAACCGATGGGGAAGAAAGGTTATCGAGTGGCAGCCTCGTACCGGTAGGCGTAGTGTAGGACGACCCCCCACTAGATGGAGTGACGACCTGGTAAGATATGCAGGAAGTCGATGGATGCAGGTGGCTCAGGACCGTGCTTTGTGGCATTACTTGGGGGAGGCCTATGTTCAGCAGTGGACTTGTGAAGGGCTGTAATGATGATGATGTTGATTTAAGAGATCAATGAAGGTCTAAAACTACATACTCTTACTAACATTCGTTAACTGATATTCTATTTAATAAAATTAATAAGACAAATGTTCCTCAACAGTTTATTTCAATACAATATTAAAACACACAATCTTTCATCAACGCAAATAAATAACTCTACAAAGAACTCCTCTTTTTAAAACATTTATCTGTTTTTATAGTTTCAATGACAGTGAGGTAACTATTTAAAACAAATGCTAAATTGGTTATCGCTTCAAATTTCAAATGTTCATTTTGTACACAACATCAAATATAATATAAATTAAAATAAAAGAAATCATTATAGTACCGGCATTTTGATGCAAATTTTTTTATTATTTTAAACCATTTTGTAAATTGTGGAACTGGTATAAAATGCAATAATCAGGAATGTCAATGATTTCACAATACTGGTTAATAAAACCATAAAATCTTAAAAAAGTTGTCATGATAATAATTAAAATACAAACTCATGATATGATTTAAAATATTGCATTGTTAACTTATTTATAGGAGATCGAAATATTTCGTTGCCTATATAATGAAATTACTTTATTCAATGAGTAAAAATGCATTATGATTAAAGTAATAATCTAATAATAAAATTGTGAAGGTTTTGTGCTTGCTCCTGGTATTTTACATAACAATTTAATGAACTTAAGTTAAAAGTAGCCTGATTTAATATATTGTTCATAATTTGATTTATTGAAGTGCTAGAAATATTCGTTTAAAATGTTGGCCGAGTTAGGGGGTTACCATATAAATCGATTGATGCTATTGATCGACGACGATCAACGTCGATAAAACGTTGTTCAATCGTCGATCAACAATTAATTGATGAGGTTGTGGACTCATCAGTATCTTTGAAAATGCGGTTAGTGGAGCAGGGCGGGTTCTCGAATAATCAAGCAGTTTGATCGACTTCGACCAATCCATTCCACCATCTATCGACAATAGATCAATTGGTATGGCAACACATATACAGATTTTTGTTGCTAAGTCTAAACTTACAATTTTTATTGTCACTGGAAACACTAAAACTATATAGAAAATGTTAAATTAAGATTTTGAAAACTTTAAAATAATTTGACAGTTGCTATTACAAATTACACAAAAATTTAACCTAGCCAACAGCACAATAAGAATTGAAAGTGACCGTTATAAATGTAGAATTTTATATGATGGAGTCTTAAAATTAAAAGGTCATGACTGCTGGAAGTGGTGAAGTTATTTTTTTAATATTAAGGGGAAATTATTTACAATGAATTACTATATTTTATAGTTTAAATAATATACTTTTGAATTTAGTAATTAATAATATACTAAAAATAATAAATTAATAACAACCCCAATCAAAAAATCAAATTAATAAAAACCCCAATCAAATTCTAAAGAAACACACCTATATATATATTCAATATAATTTGTAACGTCTTAAATAAACATAAATAACTTCACCAGCTAACAGTTGAGATTTCGTTTAAATAGAAACATATTATTTTCTATGTCCGCACTTGTGATATACGTTGAGTTTAGTTTTTGATTATTACACTTTATCTAGTCCTCATCTCTCTTCAGGGTATCTCCGAATACACATGGACTTGTTCTCTGAACCAGTGGAAATATGATGACATATGGTACTTAGTTGCATTCAATGCCACTTGTGTTTTATTTTGTAGAATCTCAGGTGCCCATTCGCCTCTGAAAATATATATTACTTGATTAGAAAATAACATCATCAATATTACAGTTGTGTGAGAAAATAAAGACTTTTGTTTAAAAAAAGCTAGAATTTTTTTAAGTTTTCCCATTACAACAAGCTATTTGTTGTAAAAAATAAAACAAAACACTGCATTGAAAATCAATATTGTAATTATTGAATAATATAATATGCTATTATATTGACATTAACTTCCAGCTCACAGGTCTACCACCATGCTTAAATTTCTTAGGTTTTCTTTTCTTGTGTGTATCTAATATGTTTTAATAAGGTTGAATTATTCTCTTGGGAAAAAATTGTCTATTGTGAGTTCTTTGCTGCTATTCCTCACAAGGTCTCCCATAGCATGAGCTTGTTTAAATTTAATGACTATCAAAAAGTGCTTTTAAAGCTAATTTTAAATGAAAATAATTTGATTGTTACGTAAGATTATTTTTAAAACATTAAATACAAAGGTTTTTACGTTTGTATGAATATGTTTTCCTGTATTTTACAACCATTATTTTAATATACATTACAAAAATGTTACAAAATAAATATTAAATATGTTATAACCAAAGACATTTAAGTATATAGTACTATTAGACCGGACATCAGCAACAAAATTGTCATCTGGAACTTTTGTCCCATAGGATATATCTCCGATTTTTGTCATCTAGTCTAAATGACATCACCGAAAGGTCAAGACGCATTCGTTTCATAAATTTAAAAAATATTTTTAAAGAAAAATGCCCGGGTGGTGCATTAAGGTATAATAAGTCATGATATTGAGCAAAAAATGAACATGATTTCAGTTTATTATCCTAAGAATAATGTATATTTACCAAATAATCTTTAAATTTTATTATTTCTGGTAGATTGCGCCAGAAAAAGAAAAATTATTGTAATAGTTGCCCTCTGTTATCCAGTAAGGTCACTATTTATTTACAAATATGTTAGTAACTGACGATGTGCCTAAAACAGATTTTTACCTTATATTTAAAAGCGTCACCTAATGGGAAATAGCTAAAATGTTTTCCAAATAAATATTCAACTTAATATTGCTATTTTTCACTAGAGGGCTTAATACACGCGCGTGCTCACAGTTTTTGTATACAAATGTTCCCTATACTATAGAGCGGACACTCTTAACACAAGCAGTTTTTACTTAGAGGGCAACGTATTGGTAATGTTCCGAACATAGAATACTATAATACATACATAATAGAACAGAGGAGTGGGCAGAGCTCATGTAGCTACTAAAATGCCACAAGATATCAATACATACATATAAATATCAATACAAGAAGTGTTTTGACGTTACAATCGTTTCCAAATTTAGCATGCAAATTATTTAGAAAATGTCAAATAGCACGCTATTTACAAATAAATATGTATTAAAATCCATCTGTCAACACAGCGAATCGGGTTTGTAGTAGTGATTAACTGATAATACGACGTAATTGATTGTATGTGTGCTCCCGGCGACGCCGAACCACGGTACAAAATAAGGTTCACAGCCATTCTATTGTGTATTATAGTATTCTATGGTTCATAGCGTAATTATAGTTAAATTTATTTATAGCTATTATTTAAAGAAATACATGTACAAATGATCATATTGTAATAATGTGACACTTACATAAAAACTTTAGTCTTCAAATATTCTGCCATCCAAATATAATAATCTGTTACATACTTCTTCAATGTAGCAAATGCAGATGATGTGTAAAATTGAATATTTTCGATCATTCCCGGGGCATATTGTTCAATAGTAGCAACAACTACAGGTGTTTTTTCTACCACATACTCTCTAATGTTGTCATAAAGTATTCCAGCTTTCTTCATAGTCAATATGAGCACATCTTTAGAGAGCTGTGAATATGGCTTACAAATTTCAACAGTTTGAGCATAATATATTGGAGTATTGGTTTCCAGCCAAATATATCCACGCGCTGAAGTAGACAATGTCTTTTGCCATGCTTTTTGACTGTGCTCTAGGATGCCTAGATCTTTCATCAATCGTCCAGTATTACTTTCTGTGAATGTGAACAAAACATGTTTTAATTAAAAGTGACTGGCATTGCAAGGAGGTATAAACCCCACAAAAAATTGTGTGGTTTCGAGTTTTCCATTGATAAAAAGATTAATTAATACGAAAATATTACTGATATATAAAGCATCCCAGCATATTAGAAAGTGTATTCCAAATTCAAATTACATATTTTTTAAGGAATGTGAATGGTTCAAACTGAGAATCATTTCAATATCTGATCACAATTAAATTTTAAAGTTTTTATTGACATTTTAAGTTCAACATTATAAGTATTTGTGTTCCGGATTATGATTTATAAATTTCCCTTTCAGCCCTTAATAATACTAATTAAATACATAAGAACGCTAATAAGCAGGATATAGGAGTTCACCTGTTTGGATTGTCCAGTGCAAAACTCTTTACCTCAATCCCATCAAGCATTTTTATTCCTCAAGTGATGCTTGATGATGATAAGATCAATACACAGTTCCAAAAAAACATCAATAGACTAGAGTGTTACCCATAGAGTGGAAGGGCATTGGTTAAGAGGCTTGTGCAGAATAACGGGACATATTGAATAGTCTGCAACATTACTTCTAAAATACTCAAATGTCATTTAGAGTATTTTTGATTAATGAAAACCAAATACGTGTTTTATTGTGGGGCAGTCTAGCAATATCAATTGTAATTCCACATTGTAAATTTCATAATGTGGTCAAATTTTATACATCTCATGTACAAAACCTTGCAAAAAAACTAGAGATGGGCGGAATATTCGGCTAAATCACCAAACATTCGTTTAAGTGATACTCAGTGTCCACTGTATTGAAATGATTTTACTGTTGAAAGTATATTTTATTTATGGGCTAAATCTACTTGAAATGTTATGTTTTTGAGGCAATGTAGATTTATTTCCCATTATAGCAAATAGAAAGCTTGATAAAATGTTTCTGGAATCAAACAAAGAAACATTACACTACATTAATATAGTACATTTCCCTTTTTCCTTTGTCGTCAGTTTAAGTCTAAATAGTAGATCTCCCGTACTCATTTTTATCATATAATTATCAATTTACACTAAGAATAACACACCAACGCCGACAAACTGTCTTACAGTTTGGCAAATTTTTTTAAAATATAAATAATGCACACTCTTTATAAGTATAAATTAAAAAAAAAACAACGAAATAGTTTTTTTTTTCTCACCAAAATAGTCAAAACGTAAAAGCAGGTGCCGGCAATTTGCTCAGTACTAGATGATATAATAACATGTCAGGTGTGGCGGGGGAGCGAGGGGCAGGGTCCGGCGCTAATTCCGCGCAGTTTACAGCAAAAAGTTTCGACATAAATTGGTTAGGTACCGAGGTTCCTGCTGAATAATAGTCGGCCGAATATTCGGTGCGGTAAAACTTTTATCGAACTTTCGGCCGAATATTCGTAATCGGTGAAATCCATATTCGGCTCATCTCTAATATTAACCTCAGTATAATTAAAATAATTAATTAATTCCAGTGTAGTTTGTCATGATATTCAGGAAAATTACCAGCTAAGTGATAAAGAAATGATGTACGAAAGGAAAATATGCCAATTATTTCAAAACTTACACTGCATTTGTTCAAATCAAAATTATAGAAGACTGGTACTGCATTTGGTATCTGTATATTATCGAATCATATGTCACACAGATCCCAAATGCAGAATGAAACTAAACAAACAATTATTTTTCTAATGACTTTCACATTCCTTCTCTATGACAAGATCTCCCATAGCAGGGGAGAATTGCCTTCATCAATTGTCATTTTCAAATCAAGCTTGGCATTGGTTTGGATTGACTATTGTATGTTTGGATTGAAAATAGTAGATTCCATTAAATAATTGGTTCAAGGAAAGAATTGATTAATCAATTATTGAAAACAACTAGTTTTGTCCACAGATTAAATTATACAAACTAGTTATTTTTCCAACACAAATGATACTGCTTCTAAAATATGATATGATATGAATTTAAATCTATAAAGAATGATAATGTAATGTTATTATAAGAAAATGTAAGTTAGAGAGTTACATCTTTAGACAATTAGTAAAAAATAGCGATTTTCTGTGTTGTAAATATTCATTCTTTCTGATTTATTTTAAAATAAATATTTAAATAATATAATAAAAATGTCCTCCAGACCGAATTTCGGCCACGGCGCCCTGCCTCAACGGAGGCTAGCCATTGGCGCAGAAGAGGATTATAGTGCACAGGTGCACTCTCTATTCCTCCACTCTCATAATCCGATGGGACGGTAAACTGACACGACCGGAGAGAGATCAGGCGCAGGACCAACGGCTTTACGTGCTTTCCGAGGCACGGAGGTAAGACGCCGCCAACTTCCTGACTCCGCGCAACTAGTGAGAATTTCTTGACAGAAAAACTCAATAATTGATTTTATGGCCCGACCCGGGATTCGAACCCAGGACCTCATGATCAGCAGTCGCACTTCTACAACCACTAGACCAACGAGACAGTCAATATAATATAAATCTAGTATTAAATGTGATTCTTTTAACTTACTGGGAAAATTGCCACCAACTCTAGAGACATCATATGTGATCAATCCAGCAATGGCAACCAACAGTAAGAAACTGGCCCACAGCCAAGGGAACCTTCTAGTGCTCGTCATTCTGTCTAGAATATCCTGAAAATTAAAAATTGAATTAATATTAATCAAAATTATCCATTAAATTTAGTAAGTTGAAGTGGCAATGGGCTGGTCATATTACTTGAAGAAAGGACAACGGATGAGGAGGAAAGGTTCTCGAGTGGCAGCCTCATACCAGTATGTGAAGTGTGGGGCAGAATCCACACTAAATAGAGTGACAACCTGTTCAGGTGCAGGAAGTCGATGGATGCAGGTGACTACCTGTTCTACTGACCTACTGACCTATACTGTTGTACTGACCTATGTTCAGCAATGGACTTGTAAAGAATTGTAATGATCATGAAAAGCATGAGAATCTACAAAATATGGAATATATGTTGTTGATTCTCATATGGGGGTCTGTGAGGAAGACTATGGGAAATGCAAAAATGCCACATAACCATATTTAACATCAGATGTAAACTATCCAAACCGGCAACCGATAGCAGCATTAGAAATGTGTTCCCATACTGCCGTCAAAACTATGTCTAATGCGGTATTAAGGTAAATCCTCGCTAGGAGAAGCGAATGTCCAGCTTTCACGGGCTAATGCAGTAAATGAAAATTAAATGCTGTATTGTAGTGATGTAAGAAATTTATGGGCCCATTTCAGTAGTGTTAAATAAATACATTATTTCCCTATTATTTCAGTCAAGTCTTGTGGCATAAATTACATAATGTGTAAGTGAACACTGAACCCATGTTGCTTGCACATAGTGAAATTTACACTGAATGCATATACAGGGTTCAGTGTTCACTTACATATTATGTAATTTATGCCATAAGACTTGACTTAAATAAGGAAATAATGTATTTATTTAACACTTTTGAAATGGGCCCATCAATTTCTTAAATTATTATATTTATAATATAAAACCATGGTAATTAAAGGACATATGCATTCAGTGTAAATTTCACTGAATAATGTCCATATAATGTAATATTTGTTTTTTAAGTTCTGATCAAATTCTAAGACTTCATTTAAGAAAACTACATATGTCAATAATATATAGGTTTATAAACTAATTCTGTTACATATTGATAAAGTAAATATTAAATTACAAGAATAGAAAATTTATGAGTAATATCGACTACGCACTACAAAATTGCAGTGAAACTAGCTTCAAATTAGTTTTATTTGTGCAACAAACTGTTAATAATTTATAAATTTGTTTTGATTTTAAAGTTTATCATAAAACTAAAGGTTATCTAAAGGTTGCATATTGCATATATCAAAGAATCTAATAAAAAGAAAGTTTTTTTGTTGGTTAGTGGTTACTGTAGAAGTATTACTTAAAGATTACATTGTTGTTACTGCACAATTTAAAACGTTTGGTAAAACATTTATTTGTATTTTAAGTAGAACTTAGAAATGGTTGAAGAGAAAAACAAAGACACAAACAGATCAGTCAAACATCAATCGCGAAACATGGAAATTCTTACTAGGTATTAAAAATAGTTAGTTCCAATGAAGTGTAAGAATTTATATTTAATATACAGGTATAACAGGTTTTTTTATAGCTTCTTCACATGAATTCCAAATATAACGACGCGGTCTCCCGCCGAGTACCTAACGGAAGTAATAAATCAACATTTTGCAGAACGACCGATGGGCGTGTTCGATGGAAAAGGAGTAAAATTCTAGTTTTTGATGTTGTCAATTAATTTGCGACTATATAAAGGCATAATTACAAACAGCTAATGTATAATAAGCTAATTCATACCTGAATACACTTTTTTATTAATAAAATTATCGATCTTATTTCAGTCTTATTAATTAATATTTGTTTGAAATTCCCAAACAAAAACGTTGTCCTCACTCGTTAACTGTTAACTCACATACATATTACATACTCACAACGATAACTGTTTTATAATCTTACAATTCTGATTTTCTGATAGTGGTAGTAGTCGTGACGAAATACTAACCGAATGAAAAATTTAATCGAAAACCATGAAGTTAGAGATAAAACTTCATGTCAAAAACGAACAAAGAAATGAATGAATCGTGAATATATGAATGTGATACGTGTTTGTCTACGGATGTGGTTCACTGACGTTTACAGTGTGGTCATCGTAAAAATTATTATTGCCGAAGTTTATTACTTAACTACGATATAAGAAAAAGTTGACAAAAAAAAAACAATGTAACATTCAAAATTTGGCCTAAATGATTTAATTATGTACATCAATCGTTTGCCATAATTCCTCAATACAATGGGCCTAGGAAGCTTATTGTTGCGTATCATAATTAATGCCTGATACATAGCGAGTTACCACCAGCGCCATCTAGTATCGAGTAGCAGAACTAGGAGAGCTTTCTATAAAATTCCATACTAGAGCTTTCTACACCTAATCAGTCGGGACCGGTGTGTACTCGAAGATTCGAACATTCTAGATGTTTCAGTAGAAAAAAAACCTATTTAAGGCCGGTAAGGACCGCGACTAAGTCAGTATTGAATTGGCGATTCAAACGAATACTTCGAAGCGATACAACTACGAACTAAAGTGATCAGTAGTACAATTGTGTTTTATTATTAGTGTTTTAAGTTGTAATTGGTGTTCGGTAATTAAAGTGTCGATTTTGGTAATTCAATTGGCAGTTTTTCTTGTCACGAACCCCAAGCTCGTAACATTATAATTTATAACAGCAGAAGCCTGTTTACTAGGTAATGACAGAGTGACAGTAAACTATATTTTTTTTTTTTGGGTAATATTTTGAAATCATCATGATTGTAGCCTACCATGAATAAAGGATAAGTATATCTATTTAGCAAGGAAACGCAGCCCGCGTTCTTGGTACGATAACACGGGGAGTAGGATTGTAGGATTGCATGATAATGAAGTTATTAGTTTTAGTTTTTTTATAGCATATTTCAATGTAATGTTACGTAAAAAAAACATGAATTAATGTTAGTAGCTACAGGTAGTAGTATTAGCACAGGCATCTAGATATACTACTAGACAGGCTCTGTGGACTTAATACATTGCGCACTAAGTTATGGTCAATTCTCCTTAACTCCTTTAGTGAACTGCGAACGGGCGAGGAGACTGATTCTTTGTTTTGTAAATCGCGAACTTTATTTTCAACAATCTAAGACTGATTTTGTTTAATGTGACTAAATAAAAAACTCTGTCATTATTTATGTGCATTCTGTGGCAAAGTGATTTTAAGTTTATTTCAGAAAAATGTGAAACTATAAAAACTCTCAAAAAGGCTCCGAAAAACTGATTGTTGTTTGTTGGTATAATTTAAGAATCTGGTACTTTTGGTACAATTTTAAACCGAGGACAATATTTAGCATATTTTTGGGCAACACTGACTTCCATTCGTTCACTAAGGCCCGCAACATACATACGGAATTCCGTTTCGAGATTCCGTTTAGGAATTCCGATTCGGGAGTGCGTACATACATCACACACATACGTTTTTTTCCGTTCGGAATAACAGCCATTGAGAACTGATATTCGGCCATCGAATACGGACGTCGATATTGCGATTGCATTGATGCTTTATCTAGCCAAGAAGAAAACATATTGCCACCGTTACTGGGTGCATCCCCTTAACAGCCTAAAATTACAAGATAGCCAGTATTATGTAAAAAGAGCCAAATTACGAGCCTGTCCATAATATTTTTTAAATACTATCGGATGTCTATAAACTCTCGAAAAATTATTTAACAACAACAGTAACAGAGGAAACAGTAACAGGGGTGGAAGAATCATGTTGAGCGTTAAGTCTAAAGAACTCAAGTCGAAAGACTCCAGGGACGCGCCATTTAAAAATGAAGTGTAATATTTCATAGCGGGGAAGTTAATTTGTTCGAAAAATGTAAAGGATAATGTTTGTTTTTGTACTATTAGTTATATTTTATATTAATTAGATTAACAATAAATAAACCAAACCTATAGTTAATAAAAGAGAAAGACGAAAACTTTTTTTAAAACTATCTTCACTTTGTCAGTTTTCTTTTTTTGTGAAAAACTGACAAAAAAAGAAAACTGACAAAGAACTACTGCAGTTCCTTTGAACTATATATAAAAATATAGCAGTATTTTTCTCCCACTACAGTCCTATAACAGTCTTTGGAAAACTATGTATGTAATATGAAATTATTACGCTTGCTTTCCCTTGTGTCCCGCACACAACAAGTATTTTTCATGATGAAAAATATAATCCTCCATGTATCAGATCACTCATTCGCTTCGGTTGTGCGACCCACCCTGGGCGTATTCCGTACGGAATTTACGAATGTGTGTTGCGACTCACACAAAATCTATAGAAGACTTGCGTTTGTAGCGGTTTTTTCCGTTCGGGATTCCGAGCGCAAGGCGGTCATACGGAATCTCGAATCGGAGAAAATTCCGTACGGAACAATACCGTGGCGGGTCTTTGATTGTATATGGACTTGCTGCCCGGAATCCCGAATCGGAATTCTGAAACAGAATCTTGATACGGAATTTCATGTGATGTGGCCGGCCCTAGTGTTGTCTTTGTATGATGTTTACCACAGTTGTATTATTTTGTCTCTTTCGAACACTTACACAAATAATTTACGGGAATTCCCCACGAATAGTGCTTTTTACCCGCGTTTACAAAATTGATAGGTATAGAATCGAACTATTACCAGGCCTCTGTCACTCTTGCTACCGTGCGTGAAATAATTACCTAAACTCGCGATTGACCCAGGGTGTAATACGCAGTCGGGGCTAGCGCGTTTTAGGCGATTGATGTATTTTTAACGCTGTTTACGTAAATAGTTTTTTGTAACACTTATAATTTTTGTTAACACTTGTTGTAATTTTTGTTTAGTGTTTAGCATTTAATTATAGGATAAAATAGTTCAAAAATGTTCAATGTGATTTAAAAATAATATGTGTTTACCTATCTATTTGATAAATTATAATGGCAAAACTTAGAACCTACTATAATTGTTGCGTGGATGGATGCATAATGAGCAAACAAAAGGATTCAGATATATCATTTTTTAAATTACCTAAGGATAATAAAAGGTACATTTATTTAATTTTTTATTTGTTAAATACATACGTGTAGCAAAACAGAATTACGTAATAATTTAAATACAGACAAAACCAAAGAGATTACTTAAATATCTTTGGACAAAACTTAGTTGAACTAAGTTTTGTCCAAAGACTTTTATACATTTTATATAAAAAAAACAAATATACATTTTTACGTACATATTTACGTAGGTAAATTGAAGTAGGTAACTTACATGTCTTTTGTAATTAAAATATTTTAAGTTTTCACAAAGCACTGAAATTAAATCTTTGTTTACAAGATTTTTAACTAATTAGAATACAATCACATTTCATTTAGGAATCGTATTTCAGGTTCATTTGTTGTTTACACTACCTACCTATTTCTTCCGAGCGATTTATTAAACCGCGATTCGCGACGAGTGACCTTGCACGTTGCATGCGTTAGGCACAGAATTCGCTTAGTAGCAAAAATATATTCATTCGATCAGTCAGAATAGGTACCTTACCTATTTTACTTACCATTTCGCAACGTTTAATTAATTTATTTATACTCTTTATAGCACACAACATATAAATTTATGTACAATTAGGTGGCCTCATCGCTTAACAGTGATCTCTTCTAGGCAAACCTTGGTAACGTACGAGTAGCACTACATATTATTTATTCTATGCCTTGGTGAAAGAGATCCGAATAGAGAGATCTAAATAGAAGTGTGCATAAATAGTAGATAAATGAGCATATATTAATACATATTATAAGCTTAATGAGTACCTACTTACATGTGTTTTTAAAATATTATTATAATTTTCTTGACAGCCCTAAGTAACCACGGAAAAACAGCCGTGATGTGGAGATGGGAAAAGATGCAAAGTAATACGGACACTCGTGCGCAGCGATAAAGGTTTATTTAGCTTGCGTGCGCAATTTATCTTATTAATAATAATTATGTAGGCTATTAAACGTCGGCAAGCAGTCAACATCAAAAGAGTGAAACTTCTGTACGTAGTACTATTATTCATTCTGTGCTATTACATTGACACGGTTTACACACAAGTGTACGAACGGTTGGCTGCGGGAATCGTAGTCAAATAAAATTATTTTTATAATTTGACCGATTGAATTTGTTTTTCATATCTCACACCTCTAAAATATACTTAGATACGAAATACGAATACCTACTCCAGAGACTGCATGACACTGGAAGCCCTCTACTGGCAGTGAGATGTTAGCTGTGGACTTTGGGCTGCTGGTTTTGTCAGTTATGATAAGACCTTACCTCCGGTCTTGATGGAGTGACATTAAGGTATACATTGGTGGCTGCTATTGGAACTCGTCACCGAGTAGAACTAGGTGTGCCGAGTTTGGGCTCGTTTTGTTAGTTATGATGAGTCCTTACATCCAGACTTGATGGAGTGACCCGAAGGTGTACTTTTTGACCGCTATTGGAACTTATCAACGAGTAGTACTAGGTGTGACGAGTTTGGACTCGTTTTGTTAGTTATGATGAGTCCTCCACCTCCGGATTTGATGGAGTGACCTTAAGGTGTAGTTTGTGACGCTTTTGGACAGAGATGGGCCGAATATGGATTTAACCGAATACGAATATTCGGCCGAAAGTTCAGTAAAACTTTTACAGAACCGAATATTCGGCCGAAAATTATTCGGCAGGATCACCTCGGTACCTAACCAATTTATGTCAAAACTTGGTTCGTAAAGCGCGCGGGATAGCGCCGGACCCCGCCCGTCGCACCTGACATGTTATTG